GGAGGGTGGAATTGAATAACAGTAGTTCAACCGGGTTGGTTCCCATGCCCTAGTCTCATATCAGCACTATTTCCTTGTTGACTGGTTGATGATCTTCATGTGCCAAAGAGGCTACTGACAACTCAGCAACCGTGCTAAAAATATATATTTACTAAAGAACACTCGCGCCACGTTTCCTGGACTAAACTGAAAAAGATCACGATAGCTGGGGTGAAATTTCCAATATGAAGAACAGTAAAGCCAAAATGTTAGCAAGAAGTCCGGAAAAAATTTTTTTTTCATCCATACAAGGTAGAATTAGTCCCACACACCAGGCTAGCTTAAGAATTATTTAGCAGACTCAATGCACTGTGACTTTAAGTAATTCACATCTCCTCTGTAATCAGTGTCTGTATTTTGGAGATAACATAAATTATTACCGAACTCTGGGTTGAAAGAGTTCATCTTCTCGTCACCACTCACCTCCGGAATAGGACCCTCCAGATGAATACGGCCTTTCAGCGGGAGGTCCACCGTAGCTTCCCGATCTCGCTCGCTCAGGAGGGGGCCCATACCCACGATCAGGTGGGGGATAACTACGCTCGGGTCCACCATAACCTCGCTCACTGCTTCCATAGCCTCCTCCACTACTGCCATAAGAGTCATAACCACCCCTCTCCTGACGCTCACCACCATAGCTGCCTCTCTCTGGAAGATATCGATCATGTGAAGCGCCTCCGGAACCTCCAGTGCTGCCTCCATACCTAATAAACAAAAACTGATGTGTCACACAGTGCATTGTGCTTTAGGACCAGCCACCAGCTTATTTTTCTTTTAAAATAGATACGACTTCGAGTACGACACTCGTTGGATAATGAGGCATTATAAGAGAAATTGTAACTTTACTGAATACCTGCAACACCATCGAGGTTATTGATAAGTCAGTAACAGTATATCTGTCTAGCTAAATGAAGGGTTTTCCCTCTCTCGTTCGGCACTTCGCTTCATAAACAACAAAGACGAAGAAGCTAGAGAAAGCGACTATCATTCATCACCATGTTTTAACACGGCATTCGCAGATTCGCCACTTATGGAGCAGTAACGGCACTGTCTGTCATAAGAGACTGCGCCCTTTGTCTAAGGGTAATGCCAGAAGAACGCAGGCTCAAAAGGTAACTGAAAGTCTACAATAAGAGACACTATTTACCTGTCATCATAACCTCTGTCACTGGAGTATCCTCTTTCGGCACTACTGTAACGCTCTGAGCTGCCGTAACCTCTATCCATGGGTGGGCCATAACCACGCTCACTGCTGGAGTAACTGCTTCCACCACCCGCACTGCTGCCACCTCCACCACGTTCATGCGGTGGATATCTGAAATCCATAGGCAAACATCGTTGGTTTGTATCGCATATTGTGGTGCTGGTTCAAATTTTTACTTATTCTCAAATTTTTAAACCACACAAGGCAAAGGAAAAAAAAAGAAACTCTTGGAAAATTTTTCAAATCAAGAAAAGAGTTGTAAAGAAAGATGTTTTTCGTCTTGTCCCGTGCGGGGGACAAAAAAATTAATTCGGACTCTCCATGAGGAATCTAACCTCAGCCTTTCTCTCTGAGAACAAAGAAAAACATTTGACCACAGCACTAACATGCAGTTTTAGTTTGCTGTATCTCTTACAGTAACAATGTCAGCTCACCAATGATCTAATTTTCCCTACACTATGGACTCTCCACGAGGTGTTTTGAAAAAACCATGATCACGATCTTAATTTTTTCAAACTTACTTCTCTACAATTGCATTTAGAGCGTATTGAAGTGGTAAAGTTCAATTTATCGCTTGTTACCATGATTTTTGGTCTTTTTATATTTTAGTGTAATTACTGAAATGTAACTGACTTTTAACCCTTCAACTTCCAAGATCTGATCATTAATTCTCCCCTGTAGCTGCTACACATTTCCTTGTAAATTAGTTATGAGAACTTGGTGCTAGATCAAGACAGCAGCTTCTACCTGATGAGTTTGAATATTCTCACTTCCTGTTTGCTGAAGAATGTATGGATATCGTAGGGAGAAGTTTTATGTTAATCACTTCTGGGAGTTAAAGGGTTAAATGACCAAACATGAATGTTTCAAGCTTGCGCATTTTGAAGTGGGATTGAGTGGCTGACTTGCTCAACCTCTACCATGAGTATTTCTCTGTGAGTGAACTACAACTACTGTATGTTATGTTCTGTGCATGAACACTGCATGATTCTTCATACCTGCTGCCATAGTAGTCGTTACTGTAGCTAGGTGGCCTCTCCCTCTCGCGGTCACTGTAGCCTCCACGATCATAATCCCTTGAGGGGTACCCACGGTCAGGAGGGGGTCCATAGTCATCATATCTAGAAAAAATATTGATTGAATTTTAAGTGACTTGTTCATCAATACTATAATTGTTTACACTAAATGTACTCTACATTGCATATCTACAACCAGGTATTCCACAAAGTCACACCAACCTTCAAAGCAATGATATGGTAATGATTCATAAGTCTTAACCCAATACTGGTAAATTATGAATCAGTTGCCCTTAAAACAGAGAACTGGCTGCTGTGCAAATTTCTTTTTAACTATTTCAATAATCATAAATACTTTAAATATAAATTATTATAAACTGAGGTGAACATATCCAACTTAAAATGGCAGCCTGGCTAAAGGCTTTGGCCAGTTGCCAGTTCCTATAAACACCCCTGCAAAAAATCAAAACCTGTTATTGGTAAATTATGCATTCGATTCTGTACAGAACTAGGAAATGGCTACTGCAAAAATTTCTCTAACAGTATTTCAATAACTGTGGGATTTTTAGTAAAACCTGGTAAATAAATGGTAAATTTAGGTGAAAGCAGTTAGCTCCTTACCTCTCACGTGGAGGTGGTCCTCTGGGTGGTTCTCCTGGGGGTCCCCTAGGGGGTCCTCTGCTAGGGGGAGGCATGTGATCTCTACGGGGGGGAGGGGGACCATCACGTGGCCTATAAGGTTCAAAATCACAAAAACAATGATGGGTCAGGTAAACCTTGTACATTGACAGGGTCAATGATAACTTATAATACAACAAGGCAAATAATACAATAATCAATGTTAACTTACACCCAATGTGACTACAAAACAACATAATTCAGTCTTAAGCATTCCAAAGCATGTAAAAAAAATCAAACTAAAAAAAAGGGAAAGGGTTTACGAAGGATCTCCGCTAAAACTGACGCTAGATGCTCAGAGTGTCTTTACAACATCACACATGAACCACACTGTAAGGTCACAAGAATAAAGAAATTGATAACAGACTAAAGAAGTTCTTGCTTGTTTAATGTATTCTCCTTGACAGAACCCTACAAAATGTAGAGAACATTATGGAGAATACATATGCTGATATCGGGGTGAAAAAGGTTAAACATTTTTGTCCTAAAAGTCTATAAATAATTTAATTCAAAGAAAGATGTTTCCGAATCTAGTCATAAGTGTAGGTGTGAGACAAGGAAACAAATCTGAGTTGCTATGAGGAATCAAACCTCAGATCTTCAAATTCCCCAAAGCGATTTTCTACCAATCAGCAACAAAACACTTTTCTATAAGCTATTACTTTTTGCTGTCATTTTTCTTTCCCCATTCAAAAATCAGGACACAGATTTGCCGACCTTCCGGGAGGACCACGTTCACCAGGGTGAGGACCTCTGAATGGAGGGCCACGTGTTGGAGGTGGTCCACGACCTCTATCTGAATAGCCTCCTCTGAACCCTCCACGACCACCTCCACGCCCTCCTCTTCCTCTTGGTGCCGCGGAATCCTTATCTTTTGCATACTCAAGGGTCATTTCATGGTTGAAAAATTTCTAAAGGAAAAAAAGATTGACCAAAGATTGACCAAACAAATAAACACAACTGCTGCTGAGTTTTTATATTGTTTAGTTCCACTGAATAAGCTCCACAGAAAATCTCATGCAAGATTACCTCCTCCAAACCCTTCCAACATAGGGTTCATACATCACTGATGCCGAAAAAAAACAATGTTTGAAAGATAGAAAATTTAACTAACCAGGGTAACACTACTGTTTTGTTATCTAAAATGTGTTCAGGGGTTTCAAGAGCAGCCACAGGTATGAGTAGATTTACCCATACCTGCCTGACATGAGATGGCTATGAGCTTGTGACCTTTACACAAACATCACCATACATGTGTATAAGCAATTCACTTCACATTTGTTCAAATTGTTTGACTTCAAGAGACAACAAAGCAGGGGGAAAAGAAGTCCTCACAGTGCAGGAGAGTGCTACTGCAAGAGCCTGGATCCTCCAAATTTCCTATATGAGTGCAGACCTCCCTAAGAACAGGAGGCCCTTCCCCAAACAGGGTGTGAAATTGCGCCTGATATAGGCGCCAATGCGACTAAGTTTTCACTTTGGCAACCAAATCCTGAAAAGTAGTCACCAAATTGACGACTAGAAGGCTTCGTCATAGCCATACATAGAGATATAGTGAATTAAAAAGATTTGCAAAGAGAAATCCGCAGCAAACTTCCTCGTTAAGTTTGTTTAATTTCCAAAACGCAGAACATGCATCTTGATCAATAATTAGACACCATCTTGGATTTAGATGAGCTTGAACATTGTATATCACCCATCCTAGTGTCCATTTTAAAGGTCACCGAGGATGAAAGAACTACCTCTCTATACCCTATTTAACAGTTTAAGTCCCACTAGTGACCTAGACAGAATTTCTCCATACACTGACAATATGACATCAAGCAGACAAGTAATGAGAATAAAGAAAATATTGATCAGGGAATTATTGGTTGATCCAATTCCAAATTCTCCAAACTAACATTATATAAATTGTACAGTAGACAGTTAGGAGAATTACTAATGAAATCTTGGGAGTTAAAGGGTTAAATGGGAGCACTGAGTACTAATTCCTTCTCCTAATATTACCCTTGAATCAAATATTAAGATCAAGAATAATGGAAATGGTCACCAACTAAAAAGGCTCTTGATTGTTGAACAAATCCTCCTTGTACACACCTAAGAAAATGTATAGAGAACAGTATGGAGAATGTCCCTACCGATGTTACAGTGTAAAGGTTTAATAAAGTTCTCAAAACCTTCTCACAGTCAATTCCTTTCTCCAATCATAGCCAGCCTTGTGTAAAAGTAACATTTTTTAATGCAGCCCTGTCACATTTTTGCACTTTTTCACCCTTATAAAAATTCAATCATAAGGATACAAACCTTGCCACGTTCGCCAGCCATTGTTGAAATTGCCTCTTTTGCATCCTCAGGATTACTAAACACAACATATCCAAAGCCACGGCTCTTGTGTGTCTCACGGTCAGTTACAATTATCGCTGGTAAATAAAGAAAAAAAACTTAGTCTTGTGCTTCGGAGGCTAACTAAGTTTGGAAGCATTAAGAGAATTAGAGTGTTATTATCATTAATACTATGGCTGTTTAACCCTCACCCAATCCAACC